CTATGATGGTTGACATGGCAAAACACAACTGTATAGTTCATTAAATCAGCAAGGATGGGCTATTGTATAATCAAGATTTTTCTACCTCAAATTTGCCTTCTCCCAAGCAGCTGGTTGTGCAGACTGTAGGTTAACATGTAAGCAATCATGAACATTGCAAACAGGAGTATACAGACCTATGGGCTGGGTATGGCCCACTTCTGAGCTTTTATATGTTTAGAGTGGGTGGTTGGGTCATTGGTTTATTTTTTTTCTCTTTTCTTCCTTCTTTCCTTCCTTCCTTTCGTTCTTTATTTTTAAGACAGGCTGACTTTGAACTCTTGAAACCCTTACCTTTGCCTCCCAAAGGCTAGGAGTATTGGCATGCATTCCCACATACAATTATATTTTCAAGTGGTTAAAAAAGGCCAAAATGAGTTGGGCTGAAGAGATGGTGCAGTGGTTAAGACCACTGGCTACTCTTCCAGATGGATCTGGGTTCAATTTCTAGCACCCACATGGCAGCTCTTAACTGTCTGTAACTCTAGTTCCAGAGGATATGACACCCTCACACAGACATACATGTTGGGAAAACACCAATGTACATGAAACAAAAATAAATTTTAAAAAGAAAAAAATCAGAATGAGTCACAAAAAATGTAAATGTATAAGATAAAGGCCATTAGATACTGAGTTGTAGAAGAAAGGAGAGAAGAAAAGTACCCAGTTCTTGAAAATCTTTATCATTGTGAACTTGCTTTGGCAGGAAAATGAAACAGGTAAATTTTAAATACTTCTTGGAGAGCAGTGGCAATCCCAAAGAAAAATACCAGGATCCAAATGACACTGACATTTTAAGTCAGAAAGGTCATCAGCCTTTACCTAACATGGAATTGCTCTAAAATCACTTGGAGAGTTCACAGACAGGCCTCTGGGGAAAAACTTGAATCCCTAATTAGATTGTCTGAGGAAGCAGCTCTTTGCAATTATATTTTCTTAGCTGCAGATAGACAATAATTACGAATGCACATCTATCTGTTTCTGCAAAAGCACACAGATTAATTAATGAGCACTGTCAGCTGACCCAGGCTTAGGGCAGACCCGGAACGCTGCCATGCATGTGCTGTGTAAGTGAGCATGGGGGCAGACTCAGCTGTACATGAGAAGGTAGGGAGGGCACTGTGGAAGTAGGCAAAAGCTTTCTCTAGTCCGGACTGGCTGTACATGGCACCTTCTGTCACTGGGATCTCCCTTTAGAAACCTCACATCAGCTTTTCTTATTTAACCATTGCGTGTCTCCTGTATTTATTCATTCCCGAAAAGCAATCTAGCTTATTATTACCCACTGTCGTGAGTCATATTCTGTCCTCTGCCCTCTTGCAATGTTGCTTTCTAAATCATTTCCCCTTTAACAGTGCATTCCTGCAAGGACTGAACTGAGGTACATTTTCATGTGGATCACAAATAGGAAAGATTACACCCCACAACTGTACAGCTTAATTAACTTTCAAAGCAATTGAAAGAACACCATTCCCACCCCAGAGGCCTTGCTCTCGTCTCTCCCAGAACTTAGCCCTCATCTTCTGACAAAGTTAAGCACTACCCCGACCTCTGACATCATAGGTTAAGCCCTCTTACTTTTAAGGTTCTCGAAGACAGAATCAAGTGAGCTCTGCCTGGGTTGCATGCATGGCTTCTGTTGCTCAAATCATGTATGAGAGACATGTAGTCTTTCTACATGAGTTACCATGCAGCATCCTGGCAGTGACTGCTGCTGTCCCATGGTTGATGAATCCATTCCAGCTTCTCACTCTTTAAGGGAAGCGCCAGCCTGAATAGCTCAAGGTGTGCTCCTGTACAGTCTGTGTACGCACGTCATTTGCATTTGAGTGTTTGCAGGGGTTTCCTAGCCCCGGTCGGTTTATGTTTCTCTTAGCAGCTTCACAGGCCTACTGTGAATAATGTCAGTCTTTAGCCATTCTGGTGGGTGTACGCTGAGATTTTTTTTTGTGTCTTAATTCACATTTTCCTCCTTTTTAATGAAAATCTTTTCTCACATAGAAATTGCTTGGATGCTGCCTTTTATTATGTCTTAAAGCCTGTTGCTTAGTGTGTGGGTGTGCACACACATACATGTGTGTATGGACATGAGTGCGCATATACATGAAGGCCAGCAGTCAACTTTGGTGTCATTCTTCAAGTGCTGCCACCTTGTTTTGTGAGAGCTTCTCTCACTGGCTTGGGGTTTGCCAAGCCCTGGGGATCCTCCTGCTTCTGCCTGGGCTATCAGGAGGCACCAATATGCCCAGCTTTTACTTGGCTCTGGGCACCAAAGTCAGGTCCTCTGCTTACACAGTAAGCACTCTTTGGGCTGAGCCATCTCCCTACCCACTGGGTCACCTGTCTTAATTTTCTGGAGGAGATACTGATACATCCCGAACATGAAGTCTTTGACTCTGCAATATCTGGCCTGTCCCTCAGCGTCTTTTCTTTGCATCCTTGTAGCATTGTCCTCTGTTCCTAGATTTAAAATCTTATTTTTCAGTCTTTTCCTTTGTGATTAGGGTTTTTTTATATGCTATTTGAAAAACTTTCTCCATTTTAGAATCCTAAAAGTCTTATTTCAATTCCTCGAGTCTTTTTGTTAGAGCCTTCACACTTAAGACAGTACACTAAATTTTGGGGTTCAGTTCAGTTTGTGCCTTTCTAAGCAGCATTTGTGGAGAAAAGCAATCCCAGGGCTATGCAACGTGGCTGTCCTTGCCTTGAGTGTCTGCAAGTCTCACGCTAATTCCCCTTCCTTTCTCCTATTTGCTGTATGTCTAAGGAATCACTGTCTTAGTCACTCAAGTCTTAAGCTGGTAGAGTGAATTTCTTTACACAGAGATACCCTGTCTCAAAAAAAAAAAAAAAATCAAAAAGAAAGAAAGAAGGAAAGGAAAGGAAAGGAAAGGAAAGGAAAGGAAAGGAAAGGAAAGAAAGAAATGAAAAAAGGAAAGGAAAAGAAAAGAAAGAAAAGAAAAGTCCAGGACAAATGGCTGAGGTGCCTACTAACATATCATAAGTGATAGCGGCCAGCTCTGCAATCCCTGGGCACCTGCGGCTCCTCCCAGCATTTCTCAACCTGATCCCTACCCTCACCTCTCCCTCCCAGGGGCTGGGCTTCCACTTCTCTGTACAACTCAGCTATTTTTGTTCTGTGTCCCCTTGGTCTCCCATCTTACTTCTGGCCTCTCACTCTGAACTCCTGTCTTCCCCTCTCACTCTCCCTGCCCTCTCTCTTTTCTCATAGCCTGCTCAGGCTGGACCCTTCCAGAGGCCTCTAGCTGTTTTCTCCCTCATATCTACAATAAACCTTGCCCTCCAACATACTAAGGAGGGGCATGTCCTCATTTCATTGTTTCATTCAGTTAACTTCAAGTAATAGTCCCTTTGTTAACCTCGGCCATTATTGCCCTGATTCAAAATAGAAAGGCTTCAACATCTCACTATTAAATTTTTTTTCAAATATCTACTTATATAAAAAAACATTCTCTATCATGATGGTGAAGCACTTACTACTCTATTCCCAGCTTACTAAGAGTGTTTTGAATTGCATGTAGACTTGAATTATTTTAATTCTTTCTCTTTATTAATTACATGGTTATAACATTTTCCTCTTTTTATAATGTTATTTTGCTACTCCCAGGAATGATGTTGCCATTTTTTAAACATTGCTATTATTGATTTTCTGATGTATATAAAGTTTGTATCCATATGCACAGGAAGATTGGGTTACTCTTTCTCTCTCTTACAATATCCTTATTAGATTTTGGTACCAAGATTGTGCTAGCTTCACAGAAAGGGTTAGGATGTATCTCCTCTTTTTATTCTTTGACCTTTCCACTCACCTTGGACTTTTATAGACAAGCAGGGAAGAGTAGCTTTACATATAGATATAATTCCTGGAATAGTTACCAATCTATTGAAATCCTTTATTTTTTTTTTCTGGTATCCATACTGGTCATTTCCTTTTTTCTGAAATTTATGTCCAATTTTTCTTAAAATTTCAAATCTATCAACATTAAGATATAATACAATTTTGCAGTAATTTTAGTGTACGGAGACTACAGTGATGTCGCTCACTTCTCTCCTAACATTTGCCATTTTGAGGCTGGTGATTTTTAAAGAGCCATCTCTTACCTGATGGCCTAAGACCAGAACTTGGGAGGTGGAATAGAAGAATTGAGGGTTTAGGCTGGTCAGGGCAACAAGAAATGAGTTACTGTTTCAAAAACAAACGGACAAAAAAATGAGTAAAACGTCTTCACTTTTCTACATGAATTAGTAATATAACACTTCCCAGCCAATCTGAGAAGCTTTAATTTGGACATTTTTTTATGCCTGAATTTTGTGACTTATCAAGATTCTGTGTCTGTCAGAAGAAAATATTTACATGATCAAAGGGAGGGGAGAAAGGGGTGCTCTAGAACCTTGTGAGGCGTTGACCGGGTGGTCTTGATGTCTTCAATAGTACACTCACAGGTTAAAAGACAGGGACCATGCATAGAGAGGACCCAAGCCC